CACCCCAGGCCCCCCACCTCCTAGAGCAGCCTGCTTCATGGGTGCCTGGAGGAGCGGGATTCACATCTGTAAACATAGGCTGTGGAAGGTCCGCCCTGTGAGTCTCTAGACCCAGCCTGTGGGGCCGTGGATGGTTCCGAATCCAGTTCCAGACCAGACCTGGGGGCCGTGGGTGGCTCCTCAGCCCAGGTGACCCAGGGCCATGCACCAAGCCTTGACCACTCCAGGCCTGGCTTCCAGAACTCCAGGTCAGAGCGGAGGTGCTGGGGACCAGCGTTGTGGGGTTGCAGGCCTCCCGAGCGGCTCCCCCGGGCTGATTCACACCAGCATGGCTTCCACCAGCTCCTGGTAGGTGACCGAGTGGCAGGCACTCGGCCGGTGGGGACGAACCGAGCTCCCGGCTCTGGGCGGACAGGGGGAGCCTCCATCACCCTGTGTGTCGCAGGAGTCGCCCTGAACTCCCACCCCACTGTCAGTTGAGACGCGAACACGTCCCCGGCCCTTTGTCCTGTCCTGTGACCCAGCGCTAGCAGCAATGCCATCCCATGCGTTTGCTTTAGGTCATTGTAAGGACATTTTCAGGTTTATAGCAATTACTCCCATCTGGGTATAAAAGCTTGGTCACATGGTCCTTGCAAACACATTGCTCCTTTGGCATTGAAGAGTGGTCGAGGACTCACATATTTATATACCAACACTCAAAATACTGCAGGAAAATACATACAAAATGTCAAGTCTAGTTAAAGTTCACATGACATTTCCAAGAAGCACTGTCAGGGAGCGAAGTTACTGTGTGTCTGCAGACACCTGGATACGTTCGGACCTTGTCAGTCGCATGATCAGCCAGAAACACACGAGCCCTTCCGAAGGTTCACGCTCTATTTTACATATGCTTAGCATTTTCTAGGTTAGTCTCTTTGCCTCCAAAGTACACAGGCAATTATCAGAAAGTTCACTGGTTTCTGTAACAGAAACAGCTAGTGTTTCCGTTCTTTTTGTTTTGTTTCGCTTTGCGTCTCATCACGGAAAGTTGAGAATAAGCACAGTAATGCTCCTGCAGTTGACTCAGCAGCTGCCGTCTCAGCAGTTGGTTTCCTTGCCTTTCTCCTGAGTAGAATGTGAAGTATTGGGGCTGACACCCTTTAATCTGTCGGCCCCCAAGCATAATCCCAGTAATAGCCGTCGGAACGTGCTCACGCTGTGACGTAATGCATGCTTGACTCCCGGGGTATTTTCTAAATCCTTCAGCAGGAATGGTCTCCTTTAGAGCTGCACTGGTTTATGCAAAGAGACTGGGCTCCTGGACTGTCCCCTGGGCGGTGAGCGCACAGCATCACAGAAGCATGTGGGGAAGAGGCCTTTGCAGGCTCGCCCTTCCGTGAAAGCGCGCAGCCGGGGAACCTGAGAACTCCGGGGTTTGCCTTCACCTCTTGGTCTATAGAGCTGACTTCAGAACAGATTTGTGTAGAGAAAAGGCAGGGCCCCAGACATGAGGCAGCTTTCGGGGAACCAGCACTGGTCCTGGTGGGGCCTGGCGTGCCTGCCAGACCCTTCCCGGCTCTGACGCTGTTCTTCAAGACGTGCCCCCTCCAGCTTCCCAGGGTCAGAAATGACGGCCTCTCAACTGGTGCTGGCTGCCACTGGTTTTTTTTTTTTTAATATTGATTAATTTGGCCACTCAGGGCCTTAGTTGTGAAGATCTCCGGTCTTGATTGGGGCCTGTGGGATCCAGTTCCCTGATCAGGGATTGAACCTGAGCTGCCTCGGGAGAGTGGGGTCTTGGCCACTGGGCACCAGGGGAGTCCCCGTTGCTGGCTTCTGTGTCCCTAGGCAGTGTGATCACAGGGAGGCACACCCCCCAAATCAGAAAGTGGGTGAAGCACTAGAGTGAAAAGACAGACAACCAGGACGGGACTTCATTTTATTCTGTCTTATTTGATAGAATCCAAGTGTTTCTAAATTGTCAATTTAAAAAAAATTTTTTTAAAAATACTTTAATTTTTACTACATATACTTTTCTATGGATTAGTCCTTCAAGTCTCAAAAATTTTGTTTTCTACTTGTAAGTTCATGAATATATACCAACAACAAGACAACAACAATTATTAAATTGTCAAGTTTTGCACAGAAGCGAAGGGTAAATTCTTCAGCGCTCAGCTTTCTTCATAGTCCAAGAATTGATGCTTTTTAGCCGAAGAATTGATGCTTTTGAACAGTGGTGTTGGAGAAGACTCTTAAGAGTCCTTTGGATTACAAAGAGATCGAACCAGTCCATCCTAAAGGAAATCTGTCCTGAATATTCATTGGAAGGACTGATGCTGAAGCTGAAGCTCCAATCCTTTGGCCACCTCATGCGAAGAACTGTCACTGGAAAAGACCNCCTTTGGCCACCTCATGCGAAGAACTGTCACTGGAAAAGACCCTGATGCTGGGAAAGATTGAAGGCAGGAGGAGAAGGGGATGACAGAGGATGAGACGGCTGGATGGCATCACCGACTCAATGGACGTGAGTTTGTTAAACTCTGGGAGTTGGTGATGGACAGGGAAGCCTGGTGTGCTGCAGTCCATGGGGTCGCAAAGGGTTGGATACAACTAAGCAGCTGAACTGAACTGAACTGAAGGGTAAATAAGCAGAGGCCAACATCCAGAGAAAAGGCTAAGCTTTTTAAATTTTGTCCTATTCCACCTCTTCCCTCCCCACACTTTCTGCTTCTTTCTGGTGGCCTCCTCGCACTCCACCCTCCACAGCGACTAGACAGGGCCTCCCCCAGCCGCCAGCTTGCAAGCTGCTCCCGCACCGTGGGTGCTTGCTCCAGGGTCCCGACTGGTGCAGGCGGGACATCCAGGAGCCGCTGGGCTTGGGGCTGCCCAGCTCTGCTGAGGGTCCTGGGAACCAGCAGAAGCCCCTTGGCCCCAGCACTCGGATCTGCAGAGAGGGAAGAGGAGGACGGAAAAGCAGGTTGGGACAACAGTCAGCAAAGACAGTGTAAGAGGCTGTGTCGACATGTCATTTACTGTCCGTCAGCATTGTCCTCTTACCGGTCCCCCAGCGGGTCTCGGTCCATCCAGAGGGCCAGAACGGCCACAAGGCCTCCTCTCTGGGGGCAGGCTGGCCACTGTCCCCACTTCCAGGGGACAGGGTGTCCAGGGGAGGGTGTGGGGGAGCCACTGACCACAGCTGCCCAGGAGTCCCCGCCATGAACCGTGTCCTCACGAGAATGTTGAGAGCTCAGGGCCCCTCACCCACAGGGGAGCAGGGCTCTAGCAAATGGAATATCTTGGATTCAGCCTCCTGGAGCTGCTGAACTTCTTGCTAAACTTTATGGCCTATACATCTCGCTTTCCAGAGTATGCTGAATGCGAATACGTTTTTCTAAGGATCAAGTTTTTTCTGGTCTGATCATGAAAATATAAGAAAGTCTTTTGTAAAAATGTAAGATAAATCGAGACAGTAAAAAAAATATATCACCTGCCGTCCTTACTGCACAGAAATAGTAACTGCTCTGAAACGTGGTGAGTAATAACGTGGGCCTTTTTACGCACACAGGAGGTTTTGGCAGCACGCTGCACCTGGCTTTTCTCACTTACTATTTTATATTTCACGGATCCTTTCCTGTTAAGTGCTTTTTAAAGACACCACCGAAGTGTCTTCGTTCGGAGCACACGAGCAGGTCTTCTTTGGCTCGTGCCCTGCAGGCCGTGGCGGCGCCGCCCGGACAGTCCGTTTTCTCCGGGGACGTGAGGGGCTGACATCAGGAGAGCCCAGGCGAGGGGCCGCGCGTGCTGTGAACACAGCTAACAACCCATTTCTCACACTGAGGAGCTCCTCCCCCCGATTATGCACGGGTGGAATAAAAGTCGTAATTAGTTTAGATCTTTCCCGAGGCCTGAGGGCGGCAGGGGCGTTGCAGGAAGCCAGCCTCGGGGTCCCCGAGCCCCTGGGAGGCGCCCGGGACACCCTTGTGAGCCCGCAGGCTCTCGTGGCTGCGGGGCCTTCGGCTCTGGCGGCGCAGATACAACGTCTCCTTCACCGCTTCTCCTCTCACTCCTGCGGAGACGAAGCCGGCTCCTGCTCAGAAAGAAAATGGGCCTGGACCAATTCATGGCACGTGGACACCCGCGAGTCCAGAGGGGCCGCAGGACAGAGGCCAGAGGTCAGCATTGCGGGCGGGAGGCCGTGTGACCCGAGGCAACTCCCCCCCCCACCCCGACCTGCCCTGAGTCTCCTTTTGGGGGGTGCTTGAGACCCCTCCTGTCACTCAGAGTTGATTCTGTCTCAGGCTCCTGGTGGGTGGGGGCCGTGTCTGTGTGGTCACTGTGTTTAGTCCCCGGACAAAACCTCTTACCCTGTCACCAATGAAGGTGTTAAATCTAATTTATTTTCTGATGAAGCAACTCACTCACCAGGTTTGAAGTCCAAAAGTCACCAAACAACATCTGATTAAAAAGCCCTCTTCCCACCCTGTACCCCAGTCACCCAGATTTTCAATTTCTTATGGGTCCTCCTATAAATATTTTATGCATCTATAAGCAAATCCATGCATGTTTTAAATTTTCTCTTTTTTGAATCAATTGGTACATTCTGTAGACACTCAACTTTGTTTATGTAACAGGATCCTGGAAATCATCTCAAAATTCACAAAGAGCTTCCTGATTCCATTTTATGGCTGCATGGAAGCCCTCTGTTTGAGCCAAAATTTAGCTAACAAGATTTTCCTCATAAATTGACATTTGGGTTGTTTCCATCTTTTGCTATCACAAATGAAGCATCAAAGGATAATGGCGGGGCAAGTCATTTTGTACGTCTGATGGAATCATGTACGCTTTTGAATCTCACTAAGTGGGCTGGTGACCTGACTCGAATAGCTGACTCACTGGAAAAGTCCCTGATGCTGGGAAAGATTGAGGGCAGAAGAAGAGGGTGTCAGAGGATGAGATGGCTGGATGGCATCACTTGAAAGCACCGAATCCTGGACCACCAGGAAATCCCTTCTCCTATTTTTAAAGAACCGAGAAAAGGCATCAGACGTCACAAACTTGGAGTCCAGAGTCTTATCAGTCCTCTGTCTTTAGTGGCAAAAAAACAAAAGCGGAGCGTCCTATTGGTTTTAATCAGGCAAATCCTTCTTCACTTTGCTTTTCTGACAAAATTTCTGAACCATCCTCAGCTGTGTATTTTCTCAGATAGTTCTTAGGATAGTTTTGTCAAATGTCAAATGGCAGTATTGTATTTGAGTTTCAGGAGCCTGTGTGTTAATGGACAGAGTTTTTCTCCATGAGGTTTCTCCTCTCAGCTGCATTTTGACTCTAATCCAAGACGAGGGCCCCTGTAGGCAGATGACCTGAGATTAGAGGCAGGTAGCCGCATTGAGCGGGAGCTCCTTCGTTATCAGAACAGTTAGAAAGGGAAAGACGTGTCAGTAGAAGCCTTGAAGCCCTCCAGGGAGGCAGGTGGGCACGCGCACGCTCCACTGTGCCGTGTATTACGGAGCGGCTCTGATGTAACCTGTCCCGCGTATGCCTGCGTTTCCAAGGTGACCTGGAGGGTCCCCACCGCAGGTGTGCGTGGGGGTTCCGTCAGTGTGAACACAGCCACCCACGCTCCTGCTTTGTCCCCTCGTCCCCCGTCCTGTGGGTCGACGTGTGGTCGGAGAAGTCGAGCATGGTGCACGCAGCTGAGTCCAAGTCGGAGGCCTGGGTCTCCAGGTAGACGGCAGACGGTGAGTTCACGCTACACACCTGAGCTTGTGGGCAGCCGGAAACGCGGACAGACGCTTCCGCCGGCCACGCCACCTCGGGGAACGTGCTTTCTCCTTGGGTTCGTTCAGTGACACGGACAGACGCTTCAGCCGTCCACGCCACCTCGGGGAACGTGCTTTCTCCTTTGGGTTCGTTCAGTGACACGGACAGACGCTTCCGCCGGCCACGCCACCTCGGGGAACGTGCTTTCTCCTTTGGGTTCGTTCAGTGACACGGACAGACGCTTCAGCCGGCCACGCCACCTCGGGGAACGCGCTTTCTCCTTGGGTTCGTTCAGTGAAAACCTCAGAAGAAGAAAGAGAGAGAATCAGCTTCCTTTAAGTTCTCTGATTTAATAAAGACTCCCCCATGAGGGTGTGAATTAATTATAAGCATAAAGCTTGAGTTCTTTATTCGGTCATGGGAGCTTTAACTTAAAATGACAGCAACGCAGGACGTCTTTCTGGTACAGAAAAGGCTGAGTTTATGACTTCACAAGGACTGCCGTGGCGTCTCATCGGCCTGGGTGGACTCACTGCTAACAGACAACCCTCAGATTGTGTGGCCTGCACAACATGCCCCTTGATTTCTCACGCTCTTGCGGTCTAGTTGGGGGGTGGGGAGCAGGACTCTGCTTTACGCAGCCACTCGGGGCCATAGCCCTGACCCGCTGGGCACCCCACTCTCCTTTAGGTTCTCGGGACTCCCTCCTTTCAGCCTGCTGAGGGGAGAGAAAAGGACGGGAGGTTTTCATCGGCCAGGCCTGGACGTAGAGCTTCCACAGGCCAGAATTTGGCTGCTGGTCTCATTCACCGCAAAGGAGACGAAAAATGCCGTCTCGTTGCGTGACCCGGGAGGAAGGGCCACTCGGACACTGGCGAGCACGGGTGTCTTCTGCCAGAGGCCTCGCTCACTCACCTGCTCGCCCGCTTCTGGCCGTGTTGAGTAGCTGTGCCGTGACAGCACTGTCTGCGGCTGGGAAGACCCGGCAGCCCACGGGATGCAGGGCTGTCTGCCTCTGGGAGGATGGAGCCCCGGTTCCGAGTCCTCACCTCGTGGCCGGGTGACTGCAGCCCCGCGAGCCGCTGGGAAGGCAGAACAGAGCTGGCGGGGCTGCTGTGGGGACCGCGGGGGACGCCAGGTGAAGAGCTCTGGGCGGGCTGTCCAGGCCTGGAGCCAATCATCTGTGCCCTGCTGATCACACATATTGATGCATCTTCAGGGTTTGCATTGCTTTTCCTGTGAAGTCACAGAATTCACACAGAGTGCGCCTGCCTGTCAAATCGCTAAAGAGTGGATCTGTGCTTCTACTGTCAATGTTTATAGAGTAAAAGCCTGGGTTTTCTGGGACTTCCCTGGTGGTCCAGTGGTTAAGACTCCGAGCTTCCAACACCGGGGGCCTGGGTTCAATACCTGCTCTGGGAACAAGTACCCCATGTGCCGTGACTGGGTGCTCGGTTACCTCAGTCGTGTCCGACTCTTTGTGACCTGTGGACTGTGGCCCACCAGACTCCTCTGTCCATGAGATTTTCCCGGCAAGAATACTGGAGTGGGTTGCCATGCTCTCCTTCAGGGGATCTTCCCAATCCAGGGATCGAACCCTTGTTTCCTGAGTCTCCTGCGTTGCCAGGGAATTCTTTACCACTGTTTGCCACTGGGATAGTCATATGCTGTGAAAAAGAAAGAAAGAAAAAGAAAGAAAGAAAAAGAAAGAAAGAAAAAGCCATATACTATGAGGTGGGGCAAAAAAGTAAAGGCTGGATTTTCTTTTTTTTTAAATTTTCTTTCTGCTTAAACATGCATCCAAAACAAACACACTAAAAAAGCCCTTCACTCTTCAACCTAAACATTCTAAGAGTTTTATTATGGCTCATTTGTCCTATCCTTACTGAGGAAAGTGAAGATTCACTTGAGGCCCGAGGAATCTATACAATTAATGGCAGTATTGGTGAAGTGCAGGTCACAGGTTTGCCAAATAACCTGGAACTTGATGGATGTGAGAGTTGGACTATAAAGAAAGCTGAGCGCTGAAGAATTGATGCTTTTGAACTGTGGTGTTGGGGAAGACTTTTTGAGAGTCCCTTGGACTGCAAGGAGACCAAACCAGACCATCCTAAAGGAAATCAACCCTGAGTATTCATTGGAAGGACTGATGCTGAAGCTGAAACTCCAATACTTTGGCCACCTGATGAAAGGATCTGACTCTTGGAAAAAACCCTGATGCTGGGAAAGATTGAGAGAAGGAGGAGAAGGGGACGACAGGGGATGAGATGGTTGGATGGCATCACCGACTCAATGGACATGAGTTTGAGTAAACTGGAGTTGGTGATGGGCAGGAAAGCCTGGCGTGCTGCGATCCGTGGGGTCGCAAAGAGTCGGACAAGACTGGGCGACTGAACTGAACTGAACCGATGGACAAAGGGCAGTCAGCCGCCCTCTGTAGTGCTCACACTGGCCACGAGATGGCAGCATCTCACAGGCCGAGGTGAACCTGTCCGCCTGGCTCCTTGGTCTTGGTCTTGAGCCCTGACTTCAAAATAACTATAAAGATGAAAGGAGCAGTAAAAAATGTCAACATCTTTTTGTTCTTAATATTGTGAAAAGAAATATCTCCAAACACTCTCAAAAAGTTCTCCTGTGGCATTTTATATCCATTCTTTATGCCTCGAGGCCAGCAGAAATAACGCAGGTGCTGTATTTTACGGACACTGTGTGTACACGCGCACCCCGTGGGGGGTTCTGGCTCACTTTCCCAGGGCCCTTTGAGCCTGACCGCCATGCACAGGTGGAAGCTGACCTCCACCGAGGGCGCCGATGGACAGCTTCATCTTTTTCCTGGTGAAGGAAAACAGAAGGAGACATCCAGAGATGTTAAAACCAGTGGGGGAATTTCTGGCAATTTTCATCCTTGAGTCTGTTCAGCTGGAATGGAAGCCAGGCAGTGTTTTCCTGCTATTTAGCATCTGCATGGGTTTTCCAGAGAACTGAGTAAATAAGTGGGAATGCAGAGACGCCGATGGTGACAGAGTCCGAGAAGAAAATGTCCCTGATGATGGTGTAATCCCAGGAGCTCTCATTTATTGAGACATCACCATACCATGTCACTGTACATCACTTGCTTGGACAGCAAGGAGATCCAACCAGCCCATCCCAAAGGAGATCGACCCGGAATATCCATTGGAAGGACTGATGCCGAAGCTGAAGCTCCAATACTGTGGCCACCTGATGTGAAGAGCCGGCTCATTGGAAAAGACCCTGATGCTGGGAAAGACTGAAGGCAGAAGGAGGAGAGGGCGGCAGAGGATGAGAGGGTTGGATGGCATCACCGACTCGATGGACATGAGTTTGAGCAAAGTCTGGGAGATAGTGAAGGACAGGGAGGCCTGGTGTGCATGTCCACGGGGTCGCAAAGAGTCTGACACGACTGAGTGAATGAGCCCCACCCACTGTGCAATAGTCAGGCGCTGTCCGTGGGGCTTGAGTGTATGATCTCATCTAACCCTCACACACAGAAGATTCTGTCACTGTAAACTTACAGGTGAGGAGACAGGCAAGGCAGGGGGAGGAACTTGCTCCAGGCTGCGCAGCTAAGTGGTAGACGCAGGACCTGAACGTGGATTTACCTGACTTCAAAGTCAATTAAAGGCAACTCGAGCTCTTGTTTTTCTTACACGTCATATCTGATCCCCCAGTTAAACTCTGGGCTTTTGTGGACGTTTGCACTCCCCTCAACCATCGTCATAACTCACTATTAACCTTCTGCCCCCTCCCCCAAACAACACTTGATTCCTGTATTTGCCCAAGAATCTAGCTAATGTTTGAAAAATTTTGATCCAGAGAATTCCCTGGTGGTCCAGTGGTTAGGACTTGGTGCTTTCACTGCTAAGGGCCTGGTCTCAATCCCTGGTTGGGGAACTAAGATCCCACAAGCTGCAGGGTAGGGCCAAAATAATAATAATAACAATGCTGTTACTACTACTAATAAAACTTGATTCACAGACTGAAGGAAGAAAAACAATGAAATTGGGGACATCTTCCCCCAGAACCATGGAGTGGAGACCCTGACCTGGGATTAGACTCACCCTGGTGGCTCAGATGATAAAGAATCCGCCTGCAATCAGGAGACCTGTGTTCGATCCCTGGATTGGGAAGATGCCCTGGAGGAGGGCATGGCAACCTGCCCTCCCCCAAGAACTCTCGCCTGGAGAATCCCCACGGACAGAGGAGCCTGGTGGGCTGCAGTCCTTCGGGTGGAAAAGACTCAGACGAGGCTGGGTGAGTAACACTTTCACTTTCTTTCATGAAATGCTAAAAATATTTGGTCACCTTTTTGACTACTCTTAAGAAATCAACGCAGTCGAGGACGTTTGAATCACTGTGATCAGGACAGCGGGGGAGCCGGGGCTTGGACCAGATCAGCGAAAGAGGGCTTCGGCGGATGGCTCTGCTTTTTCTCACATAGAATTATTTCCACGAAGCTTTCAGCATCTACCTTCTCCCCTAAGTTCCCCATTTAAACATTCCCACTGATTCTCTGCTTTAATGAGAAGCAGCTTTGGTGTTCCAGCAATCGTTCCGGGGCCTCTCTTCAATGCTGTCTGCAGGTTTCACTTTTGCGTGGGTAGCTGGAAAACTCCCCCAGGAGCCTGGGAAAAACATCAGTGTCGCTACAGAAATGGACTCTGGGCCCTGCCTCTCCGACCTGCCGAGCTTTAGCGTGCAAAGCCCATCAGCGGCGAGGTGAGGGTCAGGCCGGCCATCCCGCCGTCACTGCCGTTGGACGCTGGTCTTTGTTCTGGGGAAGGTGAGGCTGCAGCCAGCAGTGTGGCTCATAAAACATGTTTACGACGGCTGCCGCGGCAGAGCCTGCTGGGGGCTGGGGTTTCAGGGAGCGGAAGCGCGCTGGGCTGTGCCCCTGGGGCCGCCGCTGCAGGCCCCTGAGAGGACCCCCCCCCACCACCCCCGTGCAAACGCCGCCTCCTGGGTTTTTCTCCTCCACGTCTCCTTACCCCGCCCTCCTCCGTCTCCTTGATCTTCTTTTCTTCCCCAAAGACAAGAAGAATCCATCTCCAAGTGGGTTCTCTCTTCCTTTTTTTCTTTTTTAACATGGACGAAGGCAAAATACTTCTCATCATTATTTCTTAAAATTTTATCTTATAGTGCAGTAAAATTGATTAACAATGTTGTATGAGTTTCAGGAGTATAGCAAAGCAATTTAGTCATGCATATACCTATATCTATGCTTTTTCAAGTTCTTTTCCCGTTTACGTTATTAAGAATATTGAGTAGAGTTCCCTCTGCTATGCAGCAGGTCCTTGTGGCTCATCTGTTTTACATATAGGCGTGTGTATCAATCCCCAGCTCCTAACTTATCCTTCCCTATCCCT